ACTTATTATTATTATTATTAATATCCAACACTTGTAAATCAAGGAAATAAAGCTATCTTTATCTTTGTCAGCTTTCAGCATTTGTATGCACGAAGAACGGAAGTACGTATCTGGAACGTCATTGTGGACGTTCGTGTCATGTGCGAATCTATTTATTGTAGACCTTTATAAACATTTTCCAAAGTTAAATACCGGATTATGTCGTAAAAACGGTATATCGTTTGGAGAACTCTATATGTCAGTGTAATTAATCTAAACATCGGTGGATTGGTTTCCCAAATGTCAATTGTCAATTGTCTCATTGATTTCGGGTTCGTTATTTAACTGCCGTAATTTGAAATGATTCCAAGTTTTACGACTTAATTATAATTAATTATAATGTTTTATATTTTATATATTGTCCGCATCGCGTTAAAAACGATGCTAAAGATCATTATACGGATTGATAATTATTTCGGGCTCGCGAAGTCGCCCAAATACGTTTCAACGCACGATTTTGTACCATTAAAAAGAGAAAGTAACAACGAAGAACGGCGTAGTGATCATCCGGTTGTTTGCGATGCCACGCCTTCTAACTCTACTATAATATACTACAGCACGCCGCCCGCCAAACTATCGAAACCTGTTATTTTCTCAGAAGTTAAATTAATTGAGTTTTTTTTAAGGTGAAACGTTTCTGCCGACGCGTTGTGCTTTTTTTCCTTCTTTCTCTCTCGCTCCGTCTCTCTCCGGCTTAATAACGAACACGCGGACGAACTTCTTCAGTAAATGGTAGTTGTCTACCGTTTTTAAAATTGTTATTTATTAAATTATGGCGGGCTGTGGGACCGTCGGACGTCCGTTCGAAACGTATAATTTTTTTCGAGACTTTGAGACACTTAAACCGGCGCAAATGATTTCGCGGGAAATAGGAAACTCGAACAAAACTTTAACCCATATTATCCCAAGGATAAAAAAATACTTTTTTACAGGTGTCAAAAAAATAATAAAAAACTCGAAACGTACAAAAAAATACTGGTGCGTAAACGAACCACTGGGAAAAAACATTAAATAATGTTTTGGGGCACGTAACATATAATTTATACATAAATATACAAAAGAAAGTTCAAATTCCATAGAAAACAACTAAAAGTAGATTATTTTCCAAATAGAACCTGATTTGATATAAAAAAACGCCTAATGTTTTGTGGTAACACCCGGTTTCATTTTTGGTAATATTTTGCAAAGCATGAAGTATGTCAAACATTACACTTATTACCAACGTAAATTGTGTGGTTGTGGCAGATTCTACATCTCTGCAATGTAAGATTTAAAATCACTTCAATCACTTCGTCATCAAAAAACATAAAAAATATTTCGAGCAGAAAGCCTATTTTTTAGTTCCTCACATGATCCAAATTTATCGGATATAGGTGTGTGAGTGTGCTCAATCTGACCTTTCTTCCATTTGACAGTAGAAGCAAGCCTTTCGTTTGCAGAAAGCATACGTCTTTTTTTGAATTCCAGGGTTTCATCATCTGACGAGTCCCATTTAGGTTCAGTAGCTCTTGAACGACAGCTGTATCATTCGGTGTACGTAACTCGAAAGTTCCAACTATATCAGTTGATTCCCCAAACTCTTGTAGATTTATGTTATCGTTCATATCTTCTTCCTCAGTCAAGGTATCCACGTCGGGTGGAATATAGACGGCGTCAATATGTTTTGTAAATATTTTTTCACGTTAATTTTAGCATAAATTTACAAGGAATGGAATGCTACAATACATAAGAATAGGTAAATCCAAATAATACTTACGACTTTCATTGTTATTGTGCTCATCCATTACGATCTCCTCCATAACCGCCTCTAATTCCTTTTGAGCCAACTACCTCGGAAAGTCCATATTTTACACCAGTGGTGCATTCACGCACCAGTAAATATTTTCAAAAAATAAAGCATAATCAATATAGTATTTCCAATGTATGTTTTCTGCAATGTAATCTACATGCTATAGACTTAACAAAAATGGCGATACAAATCCAAAATATTTTTTTTACTATTTTTTATTTACTAGAAAATGTGATACAAATTTGTATACCGTTTTGTTTTTTGACATTTCCTTTACACATAAATTAGCGATTTCTACGGTTTTGTGTTCTTTAGTAGCAATAATAATAAAATTTCTAAATGGATGTGCAAAAATATTTCCTGGATGGGACAAAAAAAATCATTGAATAGGTGGTGCATTAACGCACCACTTTGACAAAACGGGTTAATATTGCTTATAAAAGTAAGCTTGTACTATTAAAAGAACCCCAGTTCGCAAAAAAAAAATTCGTAGTTCTATTTAACAAATATAAGCAATTAAATATTGCAAAATTTGAATTCTCTTTGAAACGCGCTGTCATTGGCTGTAACCGGTCGTGACGTCAATTCGCTGGTTAGACTACGCGCCACCAGGACGGTAGCAGAGAACGACAAAGCGTTCGTCTTGGTGGTTTTAATTTTAATTGTAGTCACGATTTTTTTAAATGGTCAATCTGGTCATTTTCCTTTAGCGGATATGTTTATGGTGGTGACCGAAAGTTTTTCATAGAAAATTTGGCCACTACTTTAAAACCAATATACTATTGTAAACAGCTGAAAGTTTTTTTTCTAGTTTTTATGATTCAAATGGTATATAAATTAAATTATTCAACAAAAAAGAACAAAAGGGATTTTTTGAAGCTAGTGGAAACCTAAAAATTAATTTTAAAGTGTATTGGCATTGATAACTTAAAGTTTTCTTTATTTTATATAGACCAGGAAGCCATTCCTACTTTCGCAACTGAATATAAAAAAGCGAGGACTTTTATTTTCTGGTAGACGAATAAAAAGTTTAACGGGTGACTTTAAATTGCGCGTTAAAACTTCCACTATCAATACATTTGTTAAATAAAAATGTGAGAGGTGTTACAATCTGGTTGATAGTCTCCTTCAAAATAATACTATTAATGTCATAATAGTCATAAGAACTGGATTTTTTCAATGCAATTCCACAGTCTAAAACATCGTCTTCTGCCATCCAGTGCAAGAAGAATGATGAAGATACATTTGGGATATTATTCACGCACTCACTCTGTACTTCAGGGTTGACAGTTAAAGAGGCCAGAATATCAGCAGCAACATTGGTAAAAAACTCATTAAATTCATTGGGTGAAAGAGTAATATTGTTATCAAACGCTTCTTTTTTGATTTTATGATTATTTTTTTTGTATTTTCGCTGAAAAGATTTATAACTAAGTTTTTTTTTTTCGAGCAACCAATATAATAAAATAAAATTTAAATAAAATATAATTAAAAAAATCATATTTGGGGTATTATAAGCCGTTTTGATGTACTGATGCAATATACCTGCCCGGTTAAACACTGATACTGTGACTACTGACGGGTTATTCGAACATTTGTGTGAGTAGTCCTTTTAATATGTATTTAAAATGATATTATCTATCTGCAGGACACACCGGTGTCTTTTGGGCTGAACCGACTCTGCTACCCATACTGTTTTCTCAGTGTGACGACTATAGATGTGTATTATCTTTCGGAAAACTCGAAATAGTTACGCGCATTGTTTTAAAGTTTTATTGCCGCCCCGAAATCCATCAAATAAAAACCACATAAATCATCGGGCCGTTATACGCAATCGAAATACTAGAGGTATTTTCTCGAATGCCGTGCGCTCTTGTTCGCGATCGAAGATTAGATTGTCGAAGTTTAAACGTTGTCTTTGCATGATATATGTTTTTGTGGCTTTGGCGACCGGCCAAAACGTCGCCAGGGCCGTAACCACGTTATTACGTACTTTTATATATTTTTATTATTTTCCTTATTTTCGACTTTTAAAGTATTTTCAGTTGGGTGTTTTATTTTACTCGTCTATACGTTTGCTAAACTGGTTTGGTTTTTGAAATATTTGAAAATTTTGAAATATTTGACCCTAAACTTCAGCTTTCTTATAAAATGCTTATGGGATTGTTGAAGCGGAAAAAGTGTTAATGCGCATTAAGTCAGGGTTCAAAAAGATTTTCCCGAAGTTATCAGAAGGTTAAAGCCGGAGTTTTCGTTGGTCCGCAAATTAGGCAGATTTTCGAGGATGAAACATTTTCAACGCTGCAAAATCTTATCCAAAACGCAAGTTGGAACAGTTTTCAACCAGCAGTTTATGGATTTTTAGGAAATAACAAAGCTGAAAAGTACGATAAGTTGGTTGACAATATGCGAAAAAATTTGAAAGTCATTGAAAGTACATATGTCGCATGCGAATTTAGATAAATTTTAAAATTACATGGGAGCGTATTGAGAACAGCAAAGAGGACGTTTTCATCAGGACATTGTGAGCTTAGAAGATTATATCTGGAATTTTTGAATGATCCTTTACATATGACATGTCTAAAACATATAATGCATTGGATCAGTCTCTTAAATTGCTAAACAATACCTTTTCCACCTGCGTGAAGTATTATTATCATTAAATATTTAAGTAATGTCTACTGTATACTATTTCCAAAGTGTATTTTGTTCATCCGAACCGTGTCCTTTTCATTGTATATTAATACGTGAATAAATTATTATTATTTTTATTATTATTATTATTATTGAGAGAAAGTACTTGCGAACGTAAAAGAAATAGTAAAAGCGTAAACTTTATTATTTAGCATTATTTTTGTAAGTTATTTTGAGTAGAAAATTTATAAAACTATTTATTTGGATGGTTTTATTTTTAATTTTAAACTGGAACCACAGATTTTGAAAAATATCCTTCAACCAGTCTCCTAAATACAAAAGCAAACTTTTTATAATATAATATAATAATAAATAATAATAAAAAATACCTACGGGTCATATTATTACGAGGAAATAATTAATAGGATTTTTTTTCGAATTTTGTACGAACAATGTGTCGCCGTCATTAAGGCAATTTAGGTTGAAGCCGTCCCTGTATGGATGTAAGTATCTGATGCCATTGTTTGTTACCTTTCAGACATTGATGAATGTGCTTCAGCTCCCTGTCAGAACGGCGGTACCTGCGTAGATCTGGAGGACGCGTTCAGATGCGAGTGTACCCCAGCGTGGGAGGGGGACCTGTGTCAATTCGGTGAGTTTTTTACTTAAGTGGCAGCTAATTGATTAGTGTAGATGTTAATCGACGTCTTCTTTTTTCTCCTCGAGTGTTTTCCGTGCGAGTGCGGTTCACAATACTAGGGCTAGCTTTTATATTTCGGGATTTGTAATAAAAAACTATAAACTACCAATAAAAATGTTGCCTTTTTTTTGTTGTTTTTCGAAATATTCGAATATTCGAAATAATTTCAATCCCTATTTTTAAACCCCAGACCGTAGTTACTACAAGTGCATACTAAATGTTCCCCCACTAAAATACTTTTTCTATATTTATCAATACGTTGTGATGCAATTTCTTGTAAATTTTCAGATGCCCCAATTTTGGGCTCCCCTGTATATTTTATAGCAATGTTGTAATATAGCTTTTTGAAGGGACGGGTGTGAGTGTGAATAAATTTTAATAAGCCAATCTTCAGTTATTGCTGCTATACATGCACATTTGGTTTCACACCTTCAAATTAAATTAGGTATGTAGAGGTATATCATTATATTTTTTTTAGGATCAAACTCATACTGGGTTCTTAAGACCTTCATGTCGAACGACTATAGATTTGACCCTCAAGTCTTTTATTAAAAATAATTAAAAATTAAAATAAAAATGCGACTACAAAACATTTCTAAAAAGAAACATTATTTAAAATAAACATTATTTTTTTAGATAATTGGTCAAACAACGTTCCATTAACAGTTGAACCGTATCCTAAGCGATCATAAAATTCATTTCTAACATTGCTTGATATTGTGAAATCCGGTCACATTCTAAGGAAATAGCGTTTTGTAACTGGTTAAGATTTTCGAATTTAACATTTCTCAAGTGACCCGGCGAGAGGTCAGGTGACTTGGATGGCCAAAGGATTTTCAGCACTTTGAGCGAATAATATTAACGTTGAAAGTATTTCCCAGATACTTCCTAACCATACGGGAATTATGGGCGTTACAACCATCAATCCTGTGCGAGATATCTTGATGTTTGTGAATAACTTCTTTTAGTGCGAGTTCGATTTGATTTTGTAAGTCCAAATAGGTTTCTTCCGCGAGGTTATACGGTTGCCTTTTATATTTCGGGATTTTCTTTTTTTTTTTTTTATAGGGAAGTTTAACATTTTAAGGTTAGTTTGTCTCAGATAGGTTTTGGCGAAATTAAAAAAATTGTGACGGTTAAAAATGGAACTTAATCGGGAGCAATTTCGTGCAATATTTTTTTTCAACTTTAGACGTGGACTAACTCAATATCAGTGCATCGATGAACTTAATTCAACTTTTGGAGTTAAAGCACCATCTGGGTCTACTGTTTATCGCTTGTTTTCGCACTACAGTCGTGGTTGTAGTTTTCTTAAGGATAAATTTGGTGAAGGTCGTCGAAAATCGGTGGCTGTGATAGAAAACATTGATGCAGTGCGGAAACTGATTTTGCGTTTTGTCCCAGTGGTGAGTTCTATTCTATGATTTTTTTTGTCACATCCAGGAAATATTTTTGCACATCCATTTAGGAATTTTATTATCATTACTGAAGGACAGAAAACCGTAGAAATCGCTAATTTATGTGTAAAGGAAAGATCTTATATATGACTTCAAAAGTTAACAAAAACGGTACATAAATTTGAATCACATTTTTAAGTAAATCCAAAATAGTAAAAAAAAATATTTTGGATTTGTATTGCTATTTTTGTTAAGTCTATAGCATGTAGATTACATCGCAGAAAACATACATTGGAAATACTGTATTGATTATGCTTTATTTTTTGAAAATATTTACTGGTGAGTGAATGCACAACTGGTTTTATCTGTGAAACGAAACTTTGTTATTGCAAGTCTAGACAAGTTCTTTTGTATTAGTTTGTGCCTTGTGCAGTGAACGTTACAGTTCGTAAATTATGGCATTTCGGAGGTATTTGACTCAAAAGGAATTAGAGGCGGCTATGGAAGAGATCGTGATGGATGAGGACAATAACAATGAAAGTCGTGAGTATTATTTGGATTTACGTATTCTTATGTATTGCAGCATTCTATTCCTTTTAAATTTATGCTAAAAATAACGTGAAATAATATTTACAAAACATATTGACGCCGTCTATATTCCACCCGACGTGGATACCTTGACTGACGAAGAAGATATGGACGATAACATAAATCTACGAGAGTTTGGGGAACCAACTGATGTAGTTGGAACTTTCGAGTCATATACATCAAGTCATACAGCTGTCCTTCAACAGTCTTGTAATTCATCAACTACTGAACCTGAATGGGACTCAACCCCGGAATTCAAAAGAAGATGTTTGCTTTCTGCAAACGTCAGGTTTGCTTCTACTGTCAAATGGAAGAAAGGTCAGATTGAGTACACTCGCACACCTATATCCGATGAATTTAGATGATGCGAGGAACTAAAAAATAGGCTTTCTGGTAAAACTCCGCTTGAAATGTTTTTTATGTTTTTTGAATTTTAAAAACTGATACAGCAATTACTCAAAGAAATCTTGCACCTGCCATAGATGAAGTGACTGTTCACGCTAATAAACCCCGAATGAGATGTAGAATCTGCCACAGAAACACAATTTACGTTTGTAATAAGTGTAATGTGCATTTACATACTTCACGCTTTGTAAAATATCACCAGAAATGAAACCGGGTGTTACCAGTGCTGCGCTCACGCACCATCAAATATTATGCGTTTTTTAGTATCAAATCAGGTGCTATTTGGAATACAATCTACTTTTAGTTGTTTTCTGTCAAATTTGTATATTGTAAGGAGTGTTTTTTTTTCGATGTATAGAACTTTAAGTTGCAATAAAACAACAATGGATTATTCGATTGACGTGAATTTTATTTATCCGAAAGATAATCTTGTGGCATTACATTTTAAATATGATTTCTGGCATATGACCGGCACGGCTGGCGCGGACTTTTTCCAACATTTGTGGCCGTATATCGGCAATAACACGGCGTTTGTGACTTATCCGGATAGACCAATGAATTTACATAGCCCCACAGAAAGTAGTCTAGCGGTGTTAAATCACAAGATCTTGGAGGGCAATTCACAGGTCCAAAACGTAAAATTAGGCGGTCACCAAACGTGTCTTTCAATAAATCGATTGTTACATGCTGCGCCGTCTTGTTGAAACCACATCTCCTGGACATCATGGTTATTCAATTTAGGAATGAAACAGTTAGTAATCATAGCTCTATACCGATGACCATTGACTGTAACGTTCTGGCCATCATCGTTTTTGAAGAAGTACGGACCAATGATTCCACCAGCCCATAAAGCGCACCAAACAGTGAGTTTTTCTGGATGTAACGTGTTTCGACATACACTTGAGGATTAGCTTCGCTCCAAATGCGGCAGTTTTGTTTGTTGACGTAGCCATTCAACTAGAAGTGCGCTTCATTGCTAAAGAAAATTCGCTTATGAAAATCGGGAACAACGGCAATCTCGTTTTGGGCCCATTCGACGAATCTACGCCTTACTTGATGATCGTTTGGCTTCAATTCTTGCACGAGTTGGATTTTGTAAGCACGTAAACCAAGATCCTTCCTCAAAATCTTCCATAAAGTGGATGGACACAGATCCAATTCCTGTGCCCGATGGCGGATGGACTCATTCGGGTCTTCCTCAATGCTACGCTTTACAGCAGCAATAGCTTCTTCTGTACGCACCGTACGGCGTCTCTGGGGATGCGAGTTATCAATAAGAGCAAACGTGGTGCGAAAACGTTCCATGGTTAATCGAATTAACTGCTCTGATGGACGATTTTGTCGACGATAAAATGGACGTAGTGCGCGATACGTATTCCGCACAGAACCATTATTTTCGAAATAAAATTGCACTATTTGCGAGCGTTGTTCAGGCGTGAATCTATTCATGATGAATTGCCAAACCAAACTGAGAATAAATCACTTGACAGCTGTTAAATCGGTCGCCATCTTGAACAGTAATGCTAACTTAAAGTTCTATACATGGAAGAAAAAAAACCATTATATTTATGTATAAATTATATATTACATCTTATGTGCCCCAAAACATTATTTAATGTTTTTTGCCAGTGGTTCGTTTACGCACCAGTATTTTTTTGTATGTTTCGAGTTTTTATTTTTTTTTTGACACATGTAATGTAAGCGCAACAAAATAAATAATTTCGGAGCAAAAAAGGATTTTTTAATTTTTTTTATGCTTGGGATAATTTGGGTTAACTCCACACAATTTGGCATTAGCTCAAATAAAGGTTTGTGTTGATTGGTCGAAGGAAATGCTAAAAAAATACGATCGCGATCCTTCCAAACACGTCTATGATATCGTGACAGGTGATGAATCATGGATCTATGCATCTGAACCTGAAAGTAAGCAGCAAGCGACTGTGTGGGTCTTTCAAAATGAGACAAAGCCCACAAAAGTTGTTCGAGAAGCACCTCGAAACAATGGAAAGGAAAACTGGCCACGTTGCAACTGTTTTTCAAAACAAAATGCTGTTCTTCTTCATCGCCTTCCCGGCGCTGTTTTTGCTCTTCGTATTTATGTGAAAAATATTGTGTTTTTTTTAATATGCCCAACACTGGGGTTTAATATTTATTTACAGCTTATTCAAGCATCCTTGCATCCTCGTTTTCCTCTTCATGCACTAAAACGTTCAAATCCCTGTTGTCCCTTTCTTCCGCTATATTAGCGACATTTTCAGCTGAACAATATTTGGGCACCTAAAAATTTGCTTTTTATTTGAGTGAAAATGTTAGATACTGTGAACATAATACTTCTCTGCATTTTTGAAACTAAATAAACTGAGTAAAGAATACATTCTGTTTTTATGTAGAATAATATTTAAAATACATTTCTGTAAACCATTAATATTATTTCAAAAAAGCCAGGACTATTTCCTTGTAATTAATCCCGTTCTATAGCACTGATGAAATGAAACAAAAAAAAAACTCGTAATAAATGTTTTTTATTCATATATATACATATTGATACTAACCAAGCGAATTGCATAACATGAAATCTGAAACAATAAAAAATCTTACAGTGTACTATGCAACAAGTGTGGTAAACGGCATTTATTAAAAATTATTTTTTTTCTACGACCTTTGGTTTTTGAGTACATTTTTGCAAAACGCTATGTTGGTGTATAATTAGGTGTTTTACAGCAGGGAATATAAGAAATGAGTTTTGCCTTTGTTAGAGCGGTAAAAGATGAGTTGTTTAGATCTTCGATAACTTTTTTGACTGATTCAAAGTTGACTCGTTCGGTATTTTCAATATTTTGTGAAAAATAATCCTAATTTGGGATTGCCCAGTTTGGATTAGTTTCAATCGGTTTTTTAAGCGGTATTTTGGCTACAATGTATGCGAAACATTGTTGTGTTGTTTGCTGGCAGGGTTTTATACCAAATAAACTTTTGTAAACACGTTAACATTGTTAACAATAACTACCAATAATGTGTTTGAATACGTGATTTATAGACTCCAAAATTGTCTTCCTCTTCTTACTATATAATGGAAAAAAAAAGTGAAAATATAGATTATGCTTACAATTTTCGAATAAGGTGGTGCCATCATAAGTGATCTCACGATAGTCGCGATATATGGTAGTTAGTTTTCGGCATTTTAACAAACACTGGACAGACAGACACAGACGATAGACGATATGAAAGATACTAAAAATTGAACCATCGGATTGTGTTTGCAATTTTATTTTATTCATTTAAAAAAGAACCTTTTTTCTTTTACTTAGAATTCCCTATAGTGTGGGTTTATCCTGGGTAATTATATGAATCTATTCTTATATAAGAAAGCTGTAACATACCTATAAGTACCATTAAAAAGGGTCAGGGTCTTTCTTTGTCAAAAAGTGCATGTTTTGTAGAGAATAGCAAAAAATATATGTATGTAGAATAGTTTATTTCATTTGTCGTTCCTATCCCAGAAATTGAAATGGTGCATTTAAATTTGTGTTCGGTTAAAATGGAAATATCGGATTGTGTTTGCAATATTATTTAATTATTTTAAAAAGAACTTTTTGCTTTTACTAAGAATTCCTTATAGTGTGGGTTTATCTTGGATAATTCTATGAATCTATTCATATATAAGAAAAGAGTAAAGTACCACGGTCTTTCTTTGACAATAAAAATGTACAAAAATGCAATAGATCCTCAATTATTGACAAAAATGCATGTTTTGTAGAGTTTTGAAGAAAATATATGTATGTAAAATAGTTTATTTAATTTTTCCTTCCTATCCCAGACATTGGAACGTGTGGATTTGCGTAGATCGTTTTTATTTTTACTGGTCATTTCCAGATGCTGACGAGTGCCTGAAAAACCCGTGCATAAACGCCATGTCGTGCACGAATTTGGTGGGCGACTACCATTGCAAGTGCCGCGTGGGCTGGATGGGCAAGAACTGCGACCAGAACATCAACGATTGCATCGGACAGTGTCAACACGGGGCTACTTGCATCGATCTGGTTAACGATTATCACTGCGCCTGTCAACCCGGATTTACCGGTAGGTATATAGAATCTCTCTCTCTCTCTCTCTTCCCGAAACTCATGGTATTCCGCTTTCGCCCTTTCAAAATTTGGGGCATATTGCGTCTCAATCTTGATTGTACTGGCCCACATTCATGGAAGTTACCTGCCGACGGCAATCAAACTAGGGTCCGATAGGTATTAAAGCACAGAACATTAGGGACGGACTCTTAAAGGTTTTGTGTTTATTTAGGTGGGTATAAGTTTATTAAATTCGAGAGGCCTCTATGGCTTTAAGCATTTGCGGCGTAGTTAGAAGTCAAAAACTGAGCTACAGGGTGATTCACAAAAATGTGCGATTTTAAAGGCCCTCTATAACTTTTTTAATTATAAGAATAGAGTTTTGGGGAAAACCATTTTTTTAAGCCTTTTTTAACCGGGAATCTCTCTATTTAGAGTCTTTAGGTCCCGAGATATCACACCAAGTGATATTTCTTTAAATGGGACACCGCCAATTTTCTTAAAAAATCAGTTTTCTAATAAAATTTCTTGTCGAACGATGTGCCATACACCTATTTTTATTAAATAGTTTAAAAGGTATTTGCAATTTTTGATATTTACCATAGTAGGCCCTGTGCGCTCCCTAAATGTGTAGATAAGATTTTATTGTTTTTTTTTTCATGCAAAGTCAAGTTCGCTACGACACGAGGTGACACAGCAACCTCGCACTGCTAGTTTACAATAATTACCAACCCTAAAATAATAAACGGAAATGAAATTATTAAAAGCAATTTTATGTTTCTTTAGTTCTAAAACAAATGCTAAAATTGACGGAAGTTTTATTGTAAACATATCCTACATCTTCTCTTAACAGCAATTTCTGCATTAAGAAGTTCTACCGCCTGAATGCAGCCTCTTCTAATTCCCTTCTAGTAGTTGAAAGAAGTCACAAGGGGTCAGGTCCGGAGACCTGGGGACCAATATATAGGACCTTTATTTCCGATCTAGTATTCGGCACACACATTATTTAGCAAATTAGTAATGTCTGGTGCATTGTGAGGAGGTGCGCCGTCATGTTGAAAGTATAGCTCATTATTTTGCTGAAGTGGCAAATTGTCTATAAACGGAATTACCTGCTAATTTTTCAAAGAAACTTCCACAGGCTAGTGTAATACTTTTTACAAAACTTCTGTATTCCTCCTGCGTCGATTTTTGCTGAGTCAAAATTGCTGACGTTTCGCCAATCATCCTGTTGGCCTCTTCAGAGCTTGACTGAAGCTGGGTTGTATTTTATAAGGTTGTTCGGAAAGTCATTTCGTTTTTTCCCGTCAGAGGACTTAATTACGTTTTTTCGAAACCAACTTCACACTTAAGCCGCATAACTATTATATGTCTTGAGAGCTGATATTGCAAGGCTTGTGTGTGAAAAAGTTCTATTAATTCTACGCAGTAGTTTTTGGTTGGTGCCCTTTTACCATATTTTACTTTTTTACTTCAGAAATGGTAAAAATGCTGTCCAAGCGAGAAAAAAATTGACGGATGTGTATGGAGAAGGCGTGTTAACAATACGCCAGTGCCAGAACTGGTTTGCAAAATTTCGATCCGGCCATTTTGATGTCGAAGATGCACCACGGTCTGGAAGGCCGGTCGAAACTGACAAACATGCGATAAATTCATTAGTTGATGCAAATCGGCGAATGACCACACGAGAGATCGGTGAGAGATTAAATTTGTCGAATTCGACTGTTTATGGCCATTTGAAAGGCATGGGCTTAACCTCGAAGCTCGATGTGTGGGTGCCCCATGTCCTTGCGAAATTTGTGTCGTCGCGTTGACGTGTGTGATTCGCTCCTCAAACGTCAAGAAAATGATCCATTTTTGAAGCAGATTATTACTGGGGACGAAAAATGGGTTGTATACAACAATATTAAACGCAAGAGGTCATGGAGCAGAAAAGATGAACCGGCTCAAAGCGTGTCAAAAGCCAACATTCACCAAAAAAAGGTGATGCACTCCGTTTATTGGGATGTCAAAGGAATCTTTTTTTTTAGCTTTTGCCGGACAATACAACGATTAATTCAGACGTCTATTGTCATCAACTGGATAAATTGAATGATTCACTTAAAGAGAAGAGGCCCAAATTAATTAACAGGAAGGGTGTAGTGTTCCACCAGGATAAGGCGAGACCTCACACAAGTTTGGTCACTCGCCAAAAACTTTTACAGCTTGAATGGGACGTACTGCAACATCCACCATATTCTCCAGATCTGGCGCCTTCCGACTACTATTTGTTCCGGTCCCTGCAAAATTTTTTGGATGGCAAAACCTTTACCTCAAATGAAGATGTCAAAAACCACCTGAACCAGTTTTTTGCCAGCAAGGACCAAAACTTTTATGAGAGGGGAATTATGTTACTGCCAGAAAGATGGCAAAAGGTGTTGGACCAGAATGGCCAATATATAATTTAATAAAATATTTATTCATTATACGAAAACTGTCTTTCATGTTCCCCAAAAAAAAACGAAATGACTTTCCGAACAACCCAATACTTCGTCTCGGATGACTCATTCCCAAATTGATTTCTATAGAATTTCGGATTTTTCGTTGGTAGAACTGATTACATTTTAGTTTTGTCGAATACAATTTTATGTCCGGTTTGATGAGTGTGTTCGGCAACAGCTAATGAGTTTATTTGTCTCATTCGTAAGACTCTTTCGTGTTCTTTAAGTCTAGTTGATATTTTTCGTCCGGTCTCACCAATGTATTCTTTGCCACATATATATATATATATATATATATATATATATATATATATATATATATATATATATATATATATATATATATATATATATATATATATTCCTCCTGCGTCAGTTTTTGCTGAGTCAAAATTGCTGACGTTTCGCCAATCATCCTGTTGACTTCTTCAGAGCTTTACTGAAACTGGCTCGCATTTTACTCAGAAGTTTTGTAAAAAGTATTATATACCTCGAATTGGCGAAGAAATACGACATAAACCTTGAAGATAAAAAGCCATATTTCTGCCTCCAACCACCACCAGTCATCCAGAATAACAAAGCGAAGATCTACTGGGACAAAGCCAAAATCACAGACAAGGAAATCAGGCATAATCGACCAGACTTGACAGTTATTGCTAAGGAGACAAATACCGCATATTTAGTTGATATATCCATCCCAACACACACAACATCGACTCTAAGAAGGCCGAGAAGATCAAACGATCCGAAATGGGAAATTAAAGAACTGTGGCACATGGAGAGAATGGAGGTCGTCCCATTGATCATATCCAGCATGGGTGTTGTACTGACGGACCCGAAAACAAACTTAACTAGATAATAGAAAACGTGAGTTCATTGATAAGCGATAAAGTGGCGACCTCTGCATTCTATGGAATGTTATGAGGAAGAAGCCCAGCCTCCTCGGACCTTTACTCGTCGCCGTCGATCGCAAAAAAATCGATTTTATTTGCATCGAATCGGAATGCGCGATATTTCAGCTGTGAGCCGTCCGCGTCGGACAGAACATTCGTCAGTTAGAATAATTACGTATTTTAAATCATGACTTTACAGTTGAATACTCACCGCAAACGTGGAATGTGTTAATAAAGCCGGGCTCAGTTGTGGGAACGGGAACCGTTTTAGATGAGGCTTTTAAAGGGAATGAATATAATGGAGATACGTACAAAATGACATGTACGGGTATAACGACATATAGTACAGTCGAAACTCTATATAGCGAAATTGAACGAACTGCTTTTTTTTTTCGTTATAATATAGGCACTTGAAAAATAACAATACGCATATGTGCATATTTTAACATCTGCTCATGAACATTTTATATAAATATTTAAGAACTACATTGTATGTTTCAAATAATAGTTATTTTATTTTGAACTTTTTTAGTAGGCTAATACGCATCTCGGACTTTGGCTTGTATTTTCACCATTTCCTCGAGAGGGACATCTTCCCCATGATACATAAAAAATTTCTCTAGCAGCTTAACTGAATATTGGGCTTGTTGAATGGTTGGTGGTGGTCCTAGATTAACTTCTTCATCTTCTTCTTCCTCTTGGTGCTCTTCCTCACCCTTTCTTGCTTGTTATAATACGGCTTCCTCTGTCAAGTCTGCTGTTGTAGGCAAATCCTGACCTATCACCATAAAATCTTGCAACTCCTCACTTGTAAACGTAATTGTTGTTTGAAACTGCTGTATCCACTCGCTTAGTGGCTGATCATCTTCCAAGTCCCGTTCGCATTCTGTTGAATTGTTTCTGCTGTCACCTCGTTCCAAACTTTACTAATAAAGTTGACTGCATCTAGCATATTAATGGAAAGTTTGTCTTCGGACTCGATCATTTCCATTAAAATGTTTTTCCTGTATCGACTTTTAAGACCATCGGTAATACACTTGTTGTTTTGGTTAGTTGTGCAGGGCAGTTTATCTAAGGGAAGTAATATTTTCCTCCCCGTTAATTCCGCATCCCATTTCCTTATCTCCTCTTCAAAAATTTGCGATGTCATCCATGCAGACTTGTTTGCCTTGTAAGTGACCGGCAAATGCTTGATGTTCTTTAAATATCGTGGGTTAGTTGACTTTCGAATCACGACTAGTTTCCTTTTTTCTCTCCACCTCTTATTGGCAGCTACTAACACTGTTATACGTTCTTTAGAAAGTTTTCCATCCACACACTTTTCGCTTCGAAATTTAAGAGTTTTATCTGGCGTCATTTTGTAAAAAATACCAGTTTCGTCAGCATTAAAAATGTCGTCAGCAGGGTACTTTTCTGCTAATTTTGGCCATTTCTTCTCCAGCCAATCGTTAGTGACGTTTCTGTCGACATCAGGGTCTTCGCCACTTATCTGTCCATAATTTATACCATGTCTCTGTTTGAACTTCCCCAACCATCCTTCCAACGATCATTCCAAGCTGTGCAGCAAACTTTTTTGCTTTTAGTTTTACGATAGGTCCAGAGAGTGGTACATTTTTAAGACGTTGCTGTTGGAACCACTGCAA